TACCAGAACGCGGCGGCCACGAGGAACACCATGATCGAGATCGGGTGGTAAAGCAGGCTCAGGAAAAGGACGACGAGCACGGCCATGGCGTAGTTGACCCGGAAATGAGCGAGGTTGAGCCGGAAGCGGGAGGCGAAGTCGCCGAGGCCGTGGGGCACCGAATAAGACGAAGGGCGGGCCAGGAGCTCGCGCCACGGGCGGCGGACGGCGTAGAGCGAGTGGATGCTCGATTTGGCGCGGTTGTACGGCGGCAGGCTGCTGTATCCGGCGGCCGACGACATTTTGCTTTGTCGGTGATTGGAAATTGAGAATGTGAAGGGGGAAATGAAACCCTAGGGATTCGATACGGCGTTGTTTGCGAGATACTCGCGGTGGTTGGTACAGGGAAATCGGTCCGGCGATTGGAGAAGATAATCAAATTGAAAAATGAAATGAAAAGGGAAAAGAAAAAGGGTAGCTACAATTTGTAGAAGAATATGATTTCTGATTAATTAATTTAGTAATTATATTGGAAAATTGTTGAGCGTAAAAAAAATAAATAAATAAAATGAAAACTATGTATATTAGGGAGATTCTAAGTTCCTTACATAATCATTCCCTAAGAATTTGCAATCCTTATATCAACTATCTATTACGGTCAGTGGCGAAACTATGTACATAATTGGAGAGGCTTGGGCCCCTCCAAAAAAAAAAAAAATTAAATTAAGGGTAGAGGATTTTGCTGGAACTGAAAGATTTTTTTGAGCGCGCATGTTGGGCCCTCCCCGGTTTCATGCGGTACATACATGGCCGGAGGGGCGCCACCGATTTTGTCGTGAAAATTATTTTTAAAGACAAATTGGATTCTCCTCGAAATGGGATCCTGGTTTGAACTATAATAACAGCAGAATTTAATAATATTTTCATTTTTATTATATTTTAAGTTGGTTAATTAGTCGACTTGCGGTGTACCGTCGGGACTCAAACCGAGTCGATTATTACCAAAAAATACTTTTATGAAAGTACGGGAAGCAGAGAGTGCATTGGTGGCATCAATTTATGATTTTGAGGTCTCGACCATTTATTTTGGGTAGCCCGAAGTTGAGAGAAAAATGACAGTGGC